TTTTTTTTTTTTTTTTGTCCACTTCATTTTTCTCTTTTTGAAATAAATAAACTACTCGCTATATTATGCTGGGAAGCACGCGGTAGAACAGCTTTTATGTTGTGCTCTGTGCTTTAGTGATTGGGCATTGGGGTCGTAGATATCTTTTGACATCGGAAAGACTTGAATTTGATTGTTTTTAGAGTGATATCGAAGCTAAAGTTCACTGTGGTAAATATCTGGACATGGGTTTTAATTGTCCGGGCATGAACCAGAGAAAGAAGATGAAGATATATATAATGTTGAAAAATGAACCAGGGCATACTAGGCCTCCGTTTCATGTTGGATAAGGTTTAGTTAGCCATCGTTTTATGCTGTCCAAGTTTTGATCTGAAATTTTACGATACAATGTTTTCTGTACATGTGCACTGTATCCACATTCTTATATTTTGGACTAAGATTTTAGACAGAATTGGGTCTGTCACTTAGTTTTGTTCCTCGGTTGACATTTCCTTCTGCAGGAACTAGCTGAGGCAAGAAAAAAGAAGAGGAAGAAGCATTACTCACTGGAGCAAGTAATTTCCATCACGCAATTGAACCTCAGTAGCCGCCATTGATTTTTCACTGTGCAGTCAACATAGATTAAATGTTTTTAATTTTCTTTCTTAATTTCTAGTTGTAGTGACAATATCTTTTAGTTTCGGACAGAATATGCCATTTCCATTTTTTTTTTGGGTGTTTGCTGTTTGCAGTCAATACATGTAATTTATACTTATTGTGATGAAATGGTATGCAGCTGTTCAACACTATATAATGTTCCATTCCAACATTTGGGCAACACCGCCTTGGATGCAGTTAATGTAATTTTTATACGTTAGTTCATGGACTCCCCTTAAATTAACATTTTTCGCCTAATTCCCACCAGGAGCTTGCCTTGCTATGGGAGAAGATGAGATGTCGCAATGTTAAAAAAGAAGATAGGTCGAGGTGTGTGTTTTTGCTGCTAAATTATAATCAAATTATTTGCTCTTTGTTTCCCTTTTATCAGAGATGAACATAAATTATTTATCCTTTACAATGACTTTTGCTAACTCTTCTTTTTTAGGCGTCTGCAAGGATGGTGAGTGAACCACATTCTTCTACTTTCTACTATTCCATTGATATATGTTCATTAGCTTGACTTGTTAATCAAATCACATAATTAGTTTTTGGATCTTGCAATGGACCTTTATAATTTCCCAACTGTTCGTTCAAATCACTGTTTCAGGTACTTGTCTGTATCTTTTCGGTTGTTGATGACACAAAACTCGTGTCTAAGGTATGTTTCAACATATTATAAGT